AGCCTTGAGGGGGATTGATACGGCGTAAGTCGTTGATGTGTCTGTAGTTTGTGATGTGGCACTCGTTCGTCAACTGTATTTCAGCCTCCTCCGTTTAATTTTGTGAACTGACAAAATTAGGTAGGATTGGATTTAGACTTCGATGTAAATGCTTTGCCATAATGGGGCGGGTTTGCTCTTCAGGTCAGGTCCGAGCTATAGCTCATGAGTATAATCCTGGCTTCAGTATGTATCCCAGCAAGTGTGGAAGAGCTGCTGTGACATCTCTTGAATGAGGTATGCATACAATGTGGTCCTTATTCAGGCACGTGGGTACCTCTGAGTTCAGCATGTCCACTGTCACATTTCCTTGTGTTTGTTAAGGCCTGGCTGGCTAGCCTGTGACTGGTGAGCCCCGTGGGGCTCTCCCGTTGTTTGGGGGCAGCTGCCGTTCCAGGCCTGCAGTCCGTGGCTGGTCTCGGGAGTCCAAAAGCCCGTGGGTGGGTTGAGGTGAGCTGGGGGGACCTGCTGCAGTCAGTGTTGCCCAGTCCCATCCCATTGGCAGCAGCGGGATTTCCCAGGGAGCTGTTCTTATGTTTGGCTTGTGCATAGGGCCTCCTCCCGCCCTGTGCTCTCTCTCGTAGGCAGGGTGGGCTGTGTTTCTTCTGTTGCAAATGGAGATGCTACACATTAAAATCTGAGCCAAAAGAATAGCCAGCTGTCGTCATCCGTCCCCACCTGACCACATGCTTCTACTATTTACCTTTTGCAGGCTTTGGTGCTGGTCTGACAATATGAGAAGCCAGTTTGGGACGCTAGGACAGCAAAAGTCCATCCAAAACCCCCCCTGACTTCTTTTTTGTCATTTAGCAAAATGATATGTTCTAAGGCTGATGCAGGGGAAGGGATCAGAAATCATTCAGGAGCAGGAATGGAGGCTGTGAGACCGACGGCTAGGCTGAGCTGAGCTGCTTTCACTCACTGTAACTTGTGGCTTCACACTCTGCTGTGTGAAAGCTTTGACTTGTGGCTTGAAGAGTCAGGAAGTCTCTGCATCAGGAAAAAACAATCTGAGCATTGTGGCAGATGCTTTAAAAGAACCAGTTCAGCGAGACCACCTTCCAGACAGAGAGAAAGAACGGGGCATTTCTGCCTTTCCCTGGCTGAGGTAGTTTGGGTTTTTCTAGGATACTTGCATGTGTAGGTGCTTTTTTCTAAAGTGTGCGTTTTGTTACTTTGGGTCATACAAACTGATGGTCATTACGGAGTTGAGTGTGTGATTTCAGAAATTTAAGTAACTTCCCTTGTCAAATTGAGATATCTAACCAAAATACGAATGCCTTCCTTTGGTGTGCTATGGAAACAGCTCCTCAGTGCAGTAGTAAGTGCCTTGTGGCGCACAGCACCTCGATGTTCAACTACAGAGCCATAGATTTGATAATTTTTTCAGTGTTTTTGAAGCTGGTAGGGGAAATAATCTGTTTCTGAATGCTAATATAAAGCAAAATAATCAGTGTGCAGTCTTGATTGAGCAGAAGATGAACCAGCTGCCCTCGTCCTTCATTGCTTTTTTCTTTTCTTTTTCTTTTTATTTTAAGAGGGAGAGGAGAGAAGAAAAAAAATGCTAGTGCTTGTGTTTCGTTCTGACAGCTTTCTTGAATTTTAGTTGTTTACTAAAGTTAGTTTGTATCGGATGTCTGAGTGCACAGATTACTGATGGTGTGAGATACGTTGCCACATGCCAGACCAGCAGTGAGAGTACAGGCAAGAATCTGCGTGACTGGAAAGTGAAAACTTTTCTTGAATGAAGAGAAGGTTACTTTGTGGCCTTTAAAATACACGAGAGATTAATAGTTTAGGTATCATTTGTAACCGTAAGGAATCTCAAACAGGTTTGCAATGCCGAATGATCCATCTGTAGCAATGTGTGTTTACTTAAGAGCACTACTCAAAAGTTGAGGCTAAGAAACTAGTAATATACCTAATTAAAACTTTGAGAGCTTAACTAATTATTTTGTATTTTGGACTTAGGGTTTAATGCAACTTCATGAAGATTCGTGTCATCTCTTTCCTGTATATGTTAAGAGCCTGGCATGACGTCTCTTCTGAAAGATAGCACTGCCAGCACCGGTGTGCTGTCTAGTGCTGTATAACAAAATCAGATGTAGAAATCAAAAAGAAAAAACTTCTTAACGTCATCCCCATATTCCCAAAGAAGGCTGGGGCCAGAATTTAGCTTAAGTGCTTGATTTTCTGATCTTATTTGTGTAAAAATAAACAAGCCGTATCTTAGGAGACTGTTGTCTTAAGAACAAAAAATGAAGTCTTATCACGTGGGATATCATATCATGTTATGTCATGGTTGTCTTTGAGCTTAGGACCTGTTGACCCAATATATTTAACGGTGTAAGGGGATCACTACACGGACAAATACACGTCAAGTGTAGCAGGAAAACCTTTCTCCCTCTTAGGACAGGCAGGCAGTGAAGCCATTGCCCAGCAAGGCTGCGCAGGCTCTGTCCTTGGAGGTTCTGGGACCTGCCTGGAGAAAGCCCTGAGCAGCCTGGTCTGATGCCAGAGCAGGGCCTGCTTGGAGCAGCAGCTTGGACTGGAGACCTCCCGAGGGCCCTTCCCGCCTGAGTGACTGCAGTGCTGTGGTTAAAAGTGTGAGGCTTTTCTGGTTTTAAAGGCATTTTATAACTGCGTTTTCCTGTCTTCCTTGCCTCAGCCTACTTGCGGTAATCTTAGTCTCTTTCTTTTGGCTATCCCAATTCCTTGCCGTTGGTCTCTTTGTCTTTCAGTGTTTTTTGGTTCTCCAGCCTGCTGTTTTGCCCTGTTTGCCAGCTAACATCTCCCTCCAGCTGCTCCCCCACTTAACTTCTCATCTGTTTTTCTTTACTTCACCCACCTCCATTTCCCCAGCCCTTAGTTCTCTGCCTTTTGCTCAGCTGCCCGCCCTCCCTCCCTCCACTTGGCTTTTCTACCTCTCCACCCCCAGCTCGGTGCCTGGCCTTTGGCTGTGCTCCAGTCCGAGTAGACTGCTTCCTCCTCTGCTCTGCTTGGGCTAGCAGGGAAGTGGTTCTTCTCACGGACTAGAGACACAACTCTTTGCTCTCCACTCCTGTGTTGCTCACCTCCTGACAAGCTGCAGCCGTCGTTCACCCCCAGGAGTTTATAGCACGACTGAATTTGAGTGGACATTCCTACTAGCAGAAGGCACGCCTCTAACAGAGCTTTCTGTCCTTTTCTACTTTGTGAAATCGTTTCCAAAATGGACAAAACTTCAGGCTTGCAAGTGGAGTGGTGCACTATATATTTGTGAATGTTTAAGTATGAGAAGGCTTTTTTTTTTTTTTTTTTAACCGGTTTCCTGGAAAGTTTCAGTGACCTCGGCGTTTTGAAACAAGTTAGCAGGAAGCAGATGGTTAGGAAAAATGTGTTCTGAGTTGTTAACACAGTAAAATGTGAGATGCAGACAATTGAAATAGATGAGCTTTTGTAATGACAAGTGGCTGTGGACCTTAATTTATAGCTTCATGGGGGAGCTGGGTGGGGTTTATTGTTTTGTGCTGGACTCGCTTTCGGTGCTGTGTTCTGTGTGGAATAAATAAAAGCAGTAAGTTGCAATCCAGTGCTGTGTGGACAGTAGGGATTTAAATGTGTTGGTACTAGTGCACCTAGAAATGGAATGAGGAGGAGGAATGGTTTTGCCTGCAAAGCAGTGAAAATGTTAATATATGGTCATAGAATTTGGAGACCAAAAGTTAGTTACTGTGTATTTGAGTGTTTCAATAATTATTTTTATTCCCCTTCTTACTTTAGAATCTTCTCCCCATTTACCAGCACCAAAGGATGTGACGATTTATTCCTATAACTTTCGTAGTTTGCTGAGGTGGTCTCCTGTTAAAGTGGATAGAGGCTTGGTGTTATATACAGTCCATTTTAAAACGTAAGTAAACAGTTCTAAAAACAACCAGACTAAGTTTGTCCTAATCTAGTAGTAACACAACTGGTTTAAAAAAAACCCAAACAACTAAAAATGAATAAGCACAGAAATGAAAGAGTGAGTTATCTATTACAGATTCTTTTATGTATATCCGAAAGCAGCTTCTGAAGACTGACATAGCCTGTGATATGTCCACTAAACTGAGAAAAGATTGAAGACCTGAAGAGCACCTGGAAATGTTGCATAGTTTCCTGTACAATTTTAGCCTTACCAAATTCTCTCTTGCTAATTTTAATTTTTCCTAGATACTGAGGAGATGCAGGTGCTGAAAGGGCTGTGGAATTAAACCTGCATGAAAGCGGTAGTTTTGTAACACATTCTTTTGTTACAAAAATTGTCTAGGTGAGAGGGATTGTATTTTAGGTAGTTGCACTCATCTGCTGATGCTTTATTTGTCGTTTGTTTTGCATTGCAGAGGGGCCTTTAACCAGTGGGATGAGGTGAACTGCACCCGTATCACCCAGACTGAATGCAGTTTTCCCTGGTCACTTAAGGAGCGACGCTGGACTGTAGTTTTGCGCGTGAGGGCTGAGCTAGGGCAAGTGACTTCTGACTGGGTGGAAACAGATCCATTTGTGGCAGAGAGAAACAGTAAGTGCTATTTATTATTTCAGTGTGTCTCTCTCCAAGGAGATTTCTTTGAAAAAAATGTGTATTGTCTGTTCTAGACTTTTTTGACTCTATTATGTACAAAAGTCAAGTGAGAGAATTGTACGTGTTCGGTTAACAAAGGCTACAAGGCGTAGTTGTATCCCTAGGAATTTGATACCACTTAGTTCCTATGTAGTGGGGTTAGCAGTTCACTCTTTCAACAGGTATCGAAAGAGAAACAGATGAATTTCCTTGGGTGGTTGAGCCTTGTAAGAGCTACAATGTATATTTTGTTAGAGAGTTTTCCATTTTCTTATTTCCCCACTTCACAGTGACTCCCTTGATTTGTGGTAATCTGAGTACGAACTACTGAACAGGTCCCTTTTCTAATAAATATCAACTGTCCTGACTACAATCTAGAAGGGTCAACGGCACACCTTAAATCCTGTTAAATGTGTGAACAAGTGTATTCTTGTTCTTTATAAGATCTGCTCTTTGCCTTGCTGTGATTGGTTTCAGGATTAGAAGAAAGTAAATGCTGAGTTTAAAAATACCTCTGAAATAATAAATCCATTCCTCTGCTTCGTTATCAACTCTTTAGTTCAAGTTCTCCCATACCTTGTGAGGAGCAGTGGTCGTCCATGCTGCAAAGAGTATGGTACTTTCCCTGGCAACTTCAGTTCTAAATCTTGGATTTTCTCTAGTGGTAAAGAGTGTGGAGGCGAGGAATTGCCTGAATCCTCCACTGAAGTTTACAACTGACGTATCCATAGCTTGTGATGCAGGATTGTTTAGGATTGAGATCCTTTGGGGGTTAGGAAAGCACTGGGCTAATGGGAATACCAGGCAAAGCAGAGGCTTGGTGTGGGAGAGATGTTTGTGTGTCTGTTCCTTGGGGGAGCAAGAGGAACATTATGTGATCATTCTTGTGTGACTGCCCTCAAGATCTGTTCCTAGACACCAAGACCATGGGTCTTGATGAACAGTCAGGCTGTTCTCTTCCTTTAATGTCTGGATCAGTCCCACTCGAGAGGGCAGCTTCGGGAGTTTGTGAGGACACACAACAAGGTGTTTGCAGTTGTACAGCAACAGGAAGTAGAAAGAAATTGAAATTTCTCTACCGATATAAAGATCATGGGGGCCAATTTTCTCTAAAGTAACAGTGGACAGAGTGGGTTTTGCTGGGTTTTCTGAGGTACAATAATCAATGGTTGCATGCAAGGATTGATTTTTACTGTTAATAGTTACTCCCCTTTAGTACGCAAGCAGCTGTTAACTGCTCTCATATTTGCATGAGTGGGGTTTTTTGAGATCCTGGAGTGCTTTACAAATGCTGATAAGCTTAACTGGTAAAAGAAGTCAAGATACAACGGACAAATAACTAATGACCATATATGACCTGCGATCACACAAGTCTTTTGTATTAGGACTGACAGTATTTTATACAATATATTTCATTATTTAGACCTCAGAGTACTTCACAAAAGGAAGTCATCATCTTTACCCTATAGGACAGATGAAGACATCAAAGCAGGGAGGGGTAAACTAGTTATTCCTCTTCCAATCTATTGACCAAAACAGTGTGGTTTTTAGAGAACATGGAATATGTGGCAGGCTATTTGAAGGAAAAAAAAAAAAAAACCCCAACAAAATTTTATCACCATTAACTGCGGATAAATTCAGATACATTCTAGTGAATATTTACTGAATTTCCAGGGAAAGGTAACAGGAAACTTTTTTTAATTATCTAGTTTCACTTACGCTTTCAAGTCTTTTTCCTTAGGTTTGTAATAAAGTAGATATCTTAAATGCATTAAGTAGATGAGAAAATGAGAAAAAGCTGTCAATGTTTAGCATGTTTGCTGAGAGTATCTAAGTAAAGCTGGAGAGAGTATGATGAGCTGTTCTGCATCCCAGAGGTTCACTGCTCTTTGTTTATTTTCAGCAACTATAGGGCCCCCTAAAGTGAACAGTGTGATTGTAAGCTCTGACTCACTTCTCATTAGCGTCACACCCCCTTTTGGATCCGAATCAGGTGACTCTCTTCAGTATCATGTGTCCTACTGGGAGAACGCAACAAGTACTACTAAAAAAGTAAGAATTCTCTCTAATTTATTTTGTTCATAATGCCTTTGTGACTAAGAGAGATGAGTCAGTGTCATAACAGCAAACAGCAGGCAAAACAGCAGAAATAGAGGAAGAAAACTAATGTAACTTTTTTCTCTAGCAGTGTAGGTCACCATTTGGTGTCTTGAAAAAAAGTTAATTTGGTCTTGGCACAAGTATTGCATGTATTATGAAATTTTCAAAAACATCTTTTTTTCCTCCATATGAAACGATCACAGATCAAAGGAGAGAATCCACAAAGTGTCAAAGGTGGCTTTAAAATGGCATTTAGATTCCAAAGTTTGCTTTGGCAATTTGGAAGACTCTGAAATACCCTTCATCCTTTCCTGTGCTGGGTTTGTTTGTGCTGGCAGCTTCACTAACAGGCTGCTTTGGCCTGATGTCACCTGTTCCTAGGGCAGAGAAAGGCAGAGTTATTAGAAACATGCTGGACACAGCTGGGATGAGCTGCCACTGTTCATACGGAGACTTAGAGGTGTTGGTCTCATTGGGCGCTTATGCTGCTGTCTGGGGCCCTGGTAATTGTGTTCTTGACAGGCCAGCGTTGCAAGGGAGGGAATAAGTTACACTTAAAAAAAAAAAAATTAAAAAAGAGGAAGAAGATTCAAAAGAACATCATTCTGAAGTCAAATGTTTAAAAAAGAGAAGCAGAAGAAATTAATTTATTTTAAAACCTTTTTGTTTCAAAGACCTTGCTCAATCTGAAACACCTCCACTTCCTTCCTTTCTTGCACCAATGTGTATTTTTCTGACACATAGAAAATACCTTCGTGTCTGAGATTCAGACAAGAAGTCACTCTTGTGTGCTTCTGTAGGCTTCACCAAAGCTGTTATCCTAGCCCCTTACAGGTTAAAAATTCCCAAAAGGCTGTGGTGGCCATGTGGAGGTTTTGCACTGCTCATCAGCTCTTTTCCTTTTCAGTAGAAGGAGCTGAGATGGTGGAAGCTCTTCACTGAACTACACTTCCGTCAGCCTCCTCTGATGGTGGAGGCACTTCTCTTGGCTTGTTTTTCCCTCCCCCTTCACTGCCTGAGCTGTCACAGAAGCTGCATCAAAGCGTCCAGCAGCATATTGTGGACGAAATGAGACCTTGCATCAGTTTTCATGCCTCTGCTGTTCGTGCCCTTATAGATGGTTTTAAATGCTGAGGCTTCATTTCATTTAAAAATAATGACATTTCAAATGCATTCAAGTAGGAAAAGTTGAAATATATTTCACTGCTTCTCTTGTTTGGGAAAGCTGAATTATAAAAATAAAATCTCTGCTTTTTGAATGAGAAACTTAAATGTGGGGAGGGGATTTGTGTTGAAGACAGGTCTGGTTTTTACAGTAATACCTATATATATTCTTTTTTTTGTCTTTTAAACAGGAGACAAAGTCAAGCAATACACTATTCAAAATCAGAAGTCTAAAGGAATTGACACTTTATTGTTTTAGAATTCAAGTAGAATTGATGACACATTCAGATCTCCAGTTATTTGGTCTGCAAAGTGTCCCAGAGTGTTACAGAACTACAATCAGTGGTATAAATCTGATTTTGTTCTTTTTTTTTAATATAATGGGATGAGTGTAGAACATGAGTCTTAGATCCTGCAACTGGTCACTTACATACCTGTATTTGTCAGGAGTGCTAAGAGAGCACCACTGATAGTAGTTCACAATTGTCATTAGTGGCAAAATAATAAGGAAATTTGCAGTCAGTAATTGAGGGTCTGTGTTGTACTCTTCCCCTCGTCCTTTTCCTTCATAAATGCTGCTATCGGTATTACTTTCTAGAAATAAGCAAAGAGAGAAAATACAAATACTTGGTCTTTAGAGAAAGTCATTGATGAAGGAGACGGTGTTACTCTTGCAAATCCTCTCCCTCAGCCGCTGCGTCCTGCAGGACAGGAACATCCCTCTCCTCCTTCTCCTCCTCCTGCTTCCTTCTCTGACATTTCGAGCTCCATGTTTTTGTATGAGAACCGACAGAGGGAGAGGGGAGGAGAGGGCATGTGCAAGGTGACGGTGCCTCTCTTGAATCTCTCCGTGTGACCACCAACAGACAGGCACAGCCGAGCTTTAGCATGCTTTGAGCACACTGGAAGACGTGTAGATGAAACCTGCTTATGCCGTTTCCGAAGCCCCACAGGAGCTGACCTCCCAGGCAGTGCTTGACCAAGTACTCGATCGCAAGCCTCTGAGCTGTGATGTTGGAGTCTGTGACGCTCCCTTTGCTGAAGGGAGGTGCATGTTCTGAAAGTGAAGCCCCTGGCATAAATGGCCCTTGCCGACCACCGGAGGGTGGAAGGACAGATTGCATTCCCCGCCTGCCTGCTGCCCACCAGCAGTGATTCCTTCAGCTCTGCGTTTGCCCTGCTAGCGTGTCAAGTAGAAGCTTGCCTTAGGCTGCGTGATTAAGGGGAAGAAGCTTGTGGGAGCTGGTGACTTCCATGTGGAATTACAAAACAAGCTACTTCTGAACACAGGTGTTTAGAGTGCATCTATAGTAGAGTTGTGATCTTAGCCCTGGAAATTGTACTTTGATTGCCAAGTACAGTAAATTTCAGCTTGCTTGTTTTACATTTGATGATGTATAAATATGAACCACCATATGTATATGGTGGTGTTTTTTTTTTTTTCTTTTTCAGAGGCAACCAGATCTGGATATATTATATTAATATTTGTATCGATCTTACTTCTTGTAAATCTGGTAGCGGTTGGTTTGCTTCTTCTGTGGAGATACCACAAAGCAATTAAATATTGGTCTCAGCCACCTTTAGAAATCCCATCACACTTTGAAGAGGTATGTGTAGACATTTAATTTTTTCTTCCCCCTCTCACCTCCCCCTGTAAAAGACATTGATGATGTCGGAGTGAATATGAATGAAGCTAGTTGTTGCATAACAGAAATAGATGTAAATAATTGTTGACTTAGTGTAAACTGTTACTTTTCTCATATATGATCTCCCACTTTATTCCTCTCTTACTCAACTGAATTATTTTTTTCTCCGCACCAAGATACAAATGCTGCTGTAATCCTGTTATGAAAATGGAATAAGGTTTTCTGTTCCTTGACTACCCCTTGTCCACCCCTTTCTTTGCTTATCGAATTCATCAGGCCTGAAACAGTTCTCACTTGAAGCAAAAAGGTTTTGTGTGCTGCAGAACATGTACTTGGGACCTTGGTCTCTGATTAGAAATCGAATACGGAAAAGCAAACGCTGATTGTTTTAAGAGCCAGGACTGACTTGAAGACTAAGAACTACCTAGGGGAATGTTCTTGGGCTTTTTCTTTTTTTCCTGTAGTTTTAGCAATACTCAGATGAAAAAGTCATCCTGGGACTTTTTTCCTCCTTGTAGCTCACACATTTCTGTACTAAACATTATTGCTTCAGTCCTGTTCATCTTCCTCTTTTTAGTATTTAAACAGGAAGTAATCTTTTAAGCGAAATTCTTGATTTAGAAGTTCTTGTTCAGCATACATATTTTTAAAAGCTTGTATTTGTTTGCAGTTCTTTGAGGTGTATTTCTTTCTTTGTATATATCTGTGTGTCAGAGTAGTCCGTTGGTAGTTCTGTGATTGTGGAGCTGTTTTTCCAGATTTTTATAGACATATGGGTGAACGAACCCAGAGTTGCTGCGGAGTCCTGAGTACATAATTTTCTGTCTTCGTGCTACCTCAGCTACCATTTCATGGGGGCTCAGTGGAGACAGCTGTATCACACATCAAGCAAAGCATATCTCACATAGGAAAAGAATCCTTGTACAGTGTACTAAAATAGTGCAGCATTTCATGCAAAGGACTTGCAAGAATAGAGTCTATCATCATGTGTTCTGGAGTAATTGTATTAATCTGGAAGGTATGCAGCAAAGGTAGATACTCTTGAACAATGTTGAGCCTGGTTTTGGGCAAAACACTGATAAGAAATGAAGGAAAACCAGTAAACATGCAGAATTTTTAAAATGTGTATTTCTAAAAGGGATCAACCAGCCTGAGGCTTCTCCTCTTAAAACACTTTCCACGACTACAGAATGTTGATTATTTTAAGACAGTTTCGTAAGTACTCTTTTAGATTTTCAGAAAAATCACATGCTTCCTTCTTTTACAGAAGGATCTCAGCTTTCAGCATCGGAGTTATAGGGAGCAGTTCTACCGCAGAAAGCCAAGCTGAGGTTCATTTATGTCTTGAATTTGCTAAAGTGGATGTATTTTGAGATTCCCAAATGTTCCCATTTGTTTTTGATACACCTGTAAAAATAATCCTGCTGCTCACTAGCCTTGCTATGATTACAGAGAAAGTGGTGCCTTAATTGAAACTAAGGTTGATTTTGTCCCACAACAGCCGTGACTTGAGCTGCGGTCCCGTCTCAGCCAGATTATGACACCTCCTACAGTACAGAACAAGCTTTTGAGCAAAACTACAAGCTACGTCAGTCTTTTAACAATGTGAAAGTATCTGTGTTCCAAACATTTATTTTATTTTTAAATCAGGGAAGAAGTGTTCAGTGGCAGATTTTTTTTTTTTTTTTGGTTCAGTACATGAAGTGGTAGATGGCTCCAATTCCCTGTGAAACACAAGATCAGCGTAGTGATAAGGAGAGTATACGGGGGGGCGGGGGCAAGAGGAACAGAAAGCATTTTCTCTGGCCTTTTCTAATGCTCCTTTCTTTGATTATACATTCATTGTAAAGCTGATGACTTAATTTTGGAGGAAAGGGGAGCAGAGGGGAAGTCAAAGCAAAAAGTAACTACAAGAGAAGAAGGGCATTAGAGTTTTCTGGTAACAATAAAAGACGCAGATCTGACTTGCCTGACACCGAACAAACCAGGATCTGAGATCTCATTTGCTCCATCAGTGCTTTAGACGAGCTGTCAGTTGCTAGATTCCTGCAGTTGGAGGATGTGTCCCCAGCAGTGTAATAAAGAAGCGTTTTATTCTGTGGTTTGTT